AGATGTCTCACGTGGGTTGCAGGGGGCTTTGCCTCCCTAGGTCTTCTGGGCTGGCTGATGGGGGTCCCACCGTCTTGGAGCAGCTTGAGCACCATCTCAAGCACGTGGTCTATTCAACCCCCCTGATGGGGGTGCGGGGAGGTGCACTGTGGACAGTCACAGGCGGGCTTGTCACTGCCTCATCTTAGAAGTGCCCTCATCACTTCCACTCACATTTAACTGGTGCCCTGCAAGCAGGCTGAGAAGCATTGCCATCCACGTGCAGGGAGCAGAGAACACCAGATCCTGCACCATCCTCAAAGGCACTTAATGGGGAGTCTCTGGGGGGGCTCTGTCTGGAGGGATGACCTTGCTCGGCCTCACCAGGAAGGGCCAGAAGTAGACCTGCTGGGAACAGTGCACTCCACGTCGGAATGCTGTTGCCACTCTTGAAAGAGACAAGTTGTTGGATCTGGCCTTTTCTATTTCCTGGCCATTCCACAAATTTGGGGAAACTGAGAAGAAAAGAAGTTTCAGAAAGGTTCCTCTGCACCCTCAGGAGGGATTGATCTGGCAGCTCACGTTTCATCCCAATGATTCTCAGACTTCAGGCATTTCTCACCATCTTCATGACTTTTGTCCAGGGGGGAAGGTGACACATGTCCTATCAGTAGTGATTTAATGTTCTCCTTGAAATCAGCCCATTCTTCAAAGACTTAGGTAACTTAATTGAAAAGGCAACTTACATCACTAAAGGGAAACTGAGACATCAAACATATTAATAATTAAAGTAAAAATAAACCACATTCACAAATTCTAGCTAGACATAGTCACTCTGAACAGAAAGATCTGCCTTTTGTTTTATTTTTATTTTATTTTTTTGCAGTACGCGGGCCTCTCACTGCTGTGGCATCTCCCGTGGCGCAGCACAGGCTCCGGACACACAGGCTCAGCGGCCATGGCTCACGGGCCCAGCCGCTCCACGGCATGTGGGATCTTCCCGGACCGGGGCACAAACCCGTGTCCCCTGCATCGGCAGGCGGACTCCCAACCACTGTGCCACCAGGGAAGCCCTGCCTTTTGTTTTAAAAGCAAGGGCTTTGCAATTGTGAAAAGTTCTCTTCCAAGAGTTGCTCAGGCCTGAGCCTCTCTCCTTTGATGTGATGAGAAGGGTTGGAAGTGGACTGATTCCGTTTTAAAGAATGTCCCATCCTTGCGGTACCCCAAAGCCTCTTCTAACCACCAACGAGACAGTTCCCTTCAATGCTTGAATTCCACCTTTACCATCTCCTAATTTTTCTGGAAACTGCTGCAGAAAAACGTTTTGTTTTATGGAAAGACGACAACCCAAACTGCCTGGTGTCACAGCCTAATCCACACAGCATGAACAATTAGTACTATTTAATTACTGACAAAATTAGGCTTACAAATTGATTTATGGCCTTGCAGAGGAAACACATATTCTTGGAGGAAAGCAGATTTCTCACAATTAATTTGAGAGAGACAAGGCAGGCGCGTCGGATGGGAAGTGGTCCCCGAGGCCTTGGCACAGCTAAGAGCTGGCAGGCCTCAGCCTTCTTTTCCAAATCTTCCTAAGGCATTGCTTCTCCTAGGATTAGCTGTGCTAATTACCCAAAGAAGATTAGATGTATTAGCTAGAACTGCATTCTGGAGAGTGAGTAGCCATGCTTACATCTTATTTTTGCCACTGATCGGGTATCTGGAGTTGCAGCTTCCCCCAAAGGCTTCCACACCAAAGAGCAGAAAAAACTTTGTAAAGCCAACTGTGTATAATGGGGAAATCATTTAACATGGAATCTGTCAGCCACCTTTAGTCCTGAGGATGCAGATAGAGGAACTCTTTTGCAATGACATACCACTCCCCCCCCCCTAAAAGGTATCTAGTGATTTCAATTCTGGAAAAGAATATCTCAATTTGATTTAGAATATATAAAATGATTGTTTTTAGTAAAGAATAGGGATCATTAGTTCCTAGTCAATAAATTGGAAAAATGTTTTAAAATAGACTGAGTTTCACATTGAAACTGACTCTGGCAAGCTAGAGTTGGCATTTTGTGCAGTTTACTGTCTCTGCCACTAAGAGGCCAGGTGACGGTGTGTCGGGGACTAAGCCTCAGTTTCCCTTTCAGTGAGGTGGAAGGGATAGTGGACTAGACCAGTGGTCCTTGGATAGAAAGCATCGGCATCACCTGGCAATTGTTAGGAATGCAGACTCTTGAGTACCACCTGGACCTGATGAATGCGGGGGCGGGTTCTCAAGGTCCCAGGTGATGTCGAAACTTAAGTTTCAGGAGCACTGAAATGTGTAATCTCTTAGGTTCTTTGCTGCATAAATTCTTCAGAATTTTTATAGTGGAGAGATGCAAAGAGAAAAGGCAGAAAGTTTAAGAAGTAAAGGAAAGAAAAACAGGACAGACATTCAGAAAATTAAACATAGAATAAAGTAGAAACATATATCATCACCAGGAGTGAAACCCAGACAGTCTTTTGAAACTTTGAAAGCTAAACACTCTTAAAGTGTTGGTATATTTCGCAACCACCGGCATCTAGACTAAAACATCTGTGGCTCCCTTGGCCGGATGATGATGACCCATTTTTACCTTCTGAGGTAAATTCACCTCATTTGCCTTGGTTGTTGTTGGTTTGCAGTATTCTTTAAATATTCAAAACGCTTTCCCTCGCTCTGATTTCTGATCTGGTTAATTCAAAGGCTCACGTGGGGAAGTCCTTGGGCTAAAATCATACGCTGATGCTTTGTGGCCTTGGTTTCCGGGGTGTCTTAATTAGGGATTCAGGAAGGATAAATGAAGAACTTGTCTCTTATCTTCTCAAGGCCGCGTTGGCCCTTAATGGATCCATTCCCAGCTCCAAATGGGCCAGCGGGGAGTCAGGACGGGATTCTTTTAGGATCACTGACTTGGTGGTCATTCCAGGATAGGGGTGGGGTCAGCATGACCCTCAGGACGCCTGGCATGTCAGAGGTCCTCCTACCCAGAGACTGAGGAGCGGGGGTGAGGGCCTCTACAGGCATTGTATTCACTGGCAGGCGGAGAGCCTTAGAAACCCCCAGGCTGTAGGACTTGCCCTTAGCTTGAGGTCTGAAGAGCGAGAGAAAGCAGATGGCCTTCCTGACACCTGTTGGGAGAGCGGGCAGCTCCCTCCCGCCTCCTCCGAGCAGGCAGAACCCGCCCGGTGCTCGCCCGCCTCCCAGGCGCCCCCCTCCCGCTCGCGCGCGCAGGGCGGGGTGGCCGCAAGGGTGGGTGAGGGGCAGACCCGGGAGGAGGGATTGGCTGCGCGGATTGGGGCTCGCGGCTGTCACTCCGAAAGGGGGGGGCTTTTTTAAAAAAAAGACTAATTTTTAAGGCAGACCCCTAGCGCGCGCGGAGCTTCGTGGCGCTCGCGTCCGTGCCGGAGGCAGGCTCGGCCGAGCGCGGGCGGCGCGCGGGCGGCGAGGTCCCCGGACCCGCGGGGCT